CTAGGATTTAGGATCCCAAAGACCAGCATTTAGGGTCCCGCGGCCCGAGTTTTTTGAAGTTGCAGTATTTGATACCTAATATCGAATAATCATGTCACAATGTACATGTCATGACCTGATGAGATATGCCATGATACTACTACTGTGATACTACTACTACTACTACTACTACTACTACTACTGCTACTACTACTACTACGACGTAGTAGTAGTAGTAGTAGTAGTAGTAGTAGTAATAGTAGTACATACACACAGACGATGGAGCCTCAGGAGCAGTCTAAGTACTTATTCAGGCTTATTCTGTGAACCCATGCTATGGCTGTTTGGGTTTCTCGATACCCGAATGGGAACATCTTGAGTTGGCTGGGTTGCGAAAAGTTAGATACTACTTGCTCCTAGGTTATATATACCCTACCACGATGGTGACGTGCAGTTCGGTTATGCTCGGCTAGATTCTTAGATATCCCCTGCGCCGGCAAAGAAAGGTACCTTAAGCCGACAGTTCTGATCCGACAGGGTTGGTGGCTTTATGATTTATGGCTTAGGGAATCACACACCTGAAGGAACGCAGCACTTCTCAACACACAGTCCTGAAATCCACGCACTCAAAGGAGCCAGTAAAGTGCCAAGGGCACCCTGGAAAGCACCTCTAAAGACCCAAACCTTCAAACCTCCAAACGGGAGCGTTGAAAACCGCGCGAGAGCTGAGATATGCAAAACAAATCCTTCAACCGCGCCCTGTTCCCTAAACCCTGAAAGCCTAAACCCCGACCTCCCAAAACCTAAACCCCTAACCCCTTAAACCTTATAGGGTTTAGGTTTTAGGGTTTAGGGAAACCCTAAACCCCCTAACCCAGCCCTCAGCCCAAACACTAAGGCTTAAGCCCTGACGCCTTCAAGCCTTACCGTAGACACACAACCACTTGTGCACTTGTGCAAAGGCAACAAACCCAACCGAAGCAACATTTTCCCAACAGGGGTGAAAGTCAGCAACCCCTCCCCAAACAAAAAGGTTTCAACGATCCAAAGCAGCAAAAGAAAAAAGCCTAAACCCTAAACCCTAAACCCTAAACCCTAAACCCTAAACCCTAAACCCTAAAACCCTAAACCCTAAACCCTGAAACCCTAAACCCTAAACCGAAGATGCCCGAGGGGCTGGTTGGTTCTCCTCCGTGAAGTTCGAGTTGCCAGTGGGCTCACAGCAGGTAGGGATCCTTCCCTGCAGCATGGATACCGAAAGCCTTATATCTCAGGTTCATACAGAAGTGTTTAGGGTTTAGGGTTTAGGGTTTTGGGGTTTGGGGTTTAGGATTTAGGGTTTTGGGTTTAGGGTTTAGGGTCAGGGTCGAAGCCATATTTGTCCTTCAGATTCGGGCTCCTTTTTTATGAATGTATTCGAACGGAGCGTCGAGCCCAAGTCTTATTATTAGGGACCCTGCATCATGTAGGTTGCAGGGTTTCGGGGGTTAGGGCTTTTGAGGTTTCAAGTTCTTGGCTTTTAGAGTTTATAGGGCCTTTAGGGTTTTAGGGTCTAGTGTATTGAGGGTTTAGGGTGTTGAGGATTTAGGAAGCCACGGAAGGCAGCTGCATGATCTTGCGCTTTGACTGCTGACCCTTATACACGGCGTAGGGTTTAGATGGTTTAGGGCTTGCAGGGAACATGTCGAATGGTTTCCCTAAGCCCTAAACAACTGCCCTTTGGCCTTTGCCCGACAGCAAGATCCACGGTAGTTTAGTGGTTTCGGGTTTAGGGATTAGGGTTTAGAGAAATGAAGCTCAATCAGCGGGGGTCACAGCAACAATGCAGGGGCCAGAACAAATACTAACCCTAAGGGTCCGAGTACCCAAATAGTAGGGTTTCAAGGTCCAAAAACCATTCAGAGTATGGATTTTGGGACCTAAAACCTTACTATTTGAGTACTCGGACCCTCTGGGTAACATTGTTCCGTCGGATTCCTCATATTATTAAACAGACCACCTAAGCCTCCAAGTACACCAAAATCGTATTCTCAGTTTTTAGACCCCTAATAGTGTTGGGTACCTTGGATCCACGCTACAGTTTCTGGACGTCGCTGGAACCTTTTTGGGTACTTTGATGATGGACCCAACGCCAATCATGCTGTAAAGTCACAGTATATTCATTATTAGCAGCTGGGTACTAGGATTCAATAAACTCACGCAAGCCTGTCTTCTAAACCCTAAACCCTAAACCCTGAAGCGTCTTCTGAACCTTGTTAGCAAACCTGATATACAAGCCTGAACAGATTTGGCAAGGCCTTTGGGAGTAGAGTAAGTGACCCTTGAACGACAGCCAGCGTAGACCAACATCCCCTTGTGGACCACTGGTTGAACTTAACAAATCGTCCAGCCTCTCCTAATCCAAGGATTTTAGCCTTCGGGGTTAGCCTTATACCTTGCGAGCATTAGCACTCGTGAAGAACCTGCCAGCTTGAAGTTTAGGGTTTAGGGTTCAGGGTTTAGGCTTGCTGCGGGATAGGGTTTTGCATTTTTGCGTTTCGAGATTTAGGCATTGGGGCATGATTTTAGGCATCGGGGCGCGATTTCAAGCGTCAGTGGAACTAACCGGTCAGGGAGCTTTACTTTGGGCTTCCATGCCATGCCATGGCACCCCGAGTGCAGCTATGTGAGGAGCAGAGGGAAGGCTCTCGCTGGACTGGCCATTACCTCACTTTTTCCTCGCAGGAGTACAAGCCCCCGCTGTTTTCCGACATCGCCATGAAAAAGGAGGCTGGGCCCATGAAGGCTTCTTCGCCACCGTCCCGGGCAGGGGGGTCGGCGAGCCCACTCTAATTGAGTGGCGGGATCTCCTATTTGGTCCAATCCGCTCAGGGATTTACTGGATTGACATGTCCTTGGGAGCCGAGACCGGCTACTCATTGCGTGTCGCCGTGATTTCCTGTTCCGTGGGGTTCCTGGCGGCACCGACTTTCTTGGCCTCCCGAGTCGACAAGGGCCGCAAGCAGCATTTGGGCATCGCGACTGATGAGATCGCCAGAATTTCCTCGCCCTCTTCACGTGCATTACTTAGTGGCTGAGTAGGTAAACTTTAACCTTTTGGGGCTTGTATAACCCTACCATCATTCAAAAGGTTAACCTTTTTTGGGCTAGGGTACTCAGCCCCTATGATTATGTTGCTTCGGGGATGCCCTGTTCTGACACAAGCATGTTTTCAAAGTAATGTCAGTCCATTCGGGGCCTCAGATCTTTAACGTCGGGGCCTTAGCAATTAGAATAATAGGGTTTTGGGGCCCGACATATACCATAATTGTAACAATAAAAGGGAACCCCAGCAACAAAATAGCATATACTATAAATTGCAATAAGGAACCCGCCATACAAACATAGTATGGGTAATTGCTTCGGCCCCTGCATAACACTGCGCCCTGAACCCGGAATCTCAAAGTGAAACGCCCGAAGCCGAAACCGGATTCAGCAAGCCCAAACCTTAAGGACGAACAGAGCCCTAGAAGGGTTTAGGGTTAGGGTTTTTAGGGCTTTTAGGGTTCATATACCATATAGGGATTCATAGTATACGGATATAGGGCCGCTACTTTTAAGGTTCTTTTCGTCCTTAAGGAAGGGCACCCATAGCTTAGTCGGATCCAATAACATGTCCTGGTCGAATCGCAGGGCCACCAAAACAGAAATCTGCATCCCCTTGAAAACTCCCTTAACCTTAAGAGAGTTTAGGGTTTGGGGTTCAGGGTTTAGTGTTTTAGGGTTATGGTCTAGGGTTTAGGGTTTAGTGTTTTAGGGTTATGGTTTAGGGTTTAGGGTTGGGGTTATGCGAACAAGGTACCCATAGGCCCCATAGAAGTTCCTTTTGTGGGGTTCATATATAGAATCCTATAAGGTAACCTCAAAAAGGAACTACTATGGGGCCTATGAGTAATTTAGAGGCCGTAATACTTACGTATGCTATCTTGGGGGTTCCTTATTATAACTATAGTATATAATGGGCCCAATTGGGGTTATATGAACCAGGTGTTTTGGTGAGGACCCAGAGAATTTAATACCCCTTGAATAAGGAATATATACCTTAAATCATAGGGGCCTTAGCATTATGGTCTAGGGTATATTCCTTAATTAAGGGGTACTGGGTTCTCTGGGGATATCCCTAAGACCCCAAGTAATACAAATAGGACCTACTTTGGGGTCTTGAATCTACAGTAAGGGTATGGGTATCCTGTTGCGTATGGACTCTTTTAAGACCGCATGAAACTCATATTATTTCCGTAAAGACAGCCTCAACAGAGCCTTTTCATGAACCCTTCTAGGGACGCTGAGCCCTTTAGAAAGCCCTCAAAGGAACCCGGAAAGAATGCGTCGTAACATTGCAGGTGACAGTGCAGGCGCAGGTTGTGATGAACGTCTCCGGCTCGAAGTATTGGGAAGATGGCGAAGGAGGGGCCCATTAGTTATAGTGTAGTATAGTATAGTATAGGGTAGTGTAGTGTAGCAGAATACGGTATCATATAGTATAGTATAGTCTAGTCTAGTATAGTATAGTATAGGGACTCAGAAGGGGCACTTTAGGGTCTAGGGAGTGTTTAGTGCGTAGGCTTCAGCGTTCAGGGGTTTGGGGTTGAGGATGTGCACGCAGGGTTCAGGGTTTGGGGTTCGAGGGTCTTGCATAGGTTTGTCCTTGTGTTTCTCTGACAGTTCTATTCTGGGACTTTGAAAGCCCAAAAGGGTCCTAAGTACCTACAGGGTAGAATGCAGGGTTGCCACAATAATTAGGAATTAGTGTTATGGTTTGGGCAAACCCTAAACCCTAAACCCTAAACCCTTTGGGAAACAGAACAGGAAGGGTTGGGTACAGCCAGTCTTCATCTGCGGTGTCTAGGGGACCTGGCATTTAAGCCTCAAGGAGGTTCAGGGTTTAGGGTTTCAGGGGCAACTTAGGCATGTAGGGCTCGGGGGAATTTCAGGGAAGAGCTTTAATTTTGGGCTGATGAAAGGCTTCGGCGGTGAAAGTTGTCGAACAGAGAAACTGGCAACTGAGGCTTCGCTCGTGGCTGGAATGCAGTTGCGGCCTGCGAAATTCCTAGAATCCGAGTTCAAGTTATTCACTTGGCCGCAATGGTCTTCTAAACCCTAAACCCGGCAACCTAATATAGGAACCTGATTAAGAAACCCTGGCCCCATAACCCCAATATACAGAGTTCATGTTAAGAACCCTAATAAAGAGCCAGGGTTTCTTAATCAGGTTCCTACTATTTATCATGAGCCACCACCCCAAACCATATGCGCCGGGTGGAAGCCTCCACGTCTGGTTAATATGGGGGCCTGAATAATATTACCAACACTGTACCTTGGGCTTCCTCATCATAACCATACTAATGTAGGGGCCTCAATAATTAGCTATATGATTTTTTTCTTGGGGGGGGGGGGGGTCCTTATTATAGTTATAGTATTAAGGTCCCAAAACCCTATTCTAGATATTAAGGCTTCTACATTACACTGTAACCCACAACCCATATTCTAGCTACTCGGGCCCTTATGTCTTACCTCCAGGTACCAAAGGGAGCCAGAGTCCCGTCTGTTCGTGTTCACATCTGGACCAATCAAAGTGAGGGACTCTTAGCAACGACATGTGTAGACCCGCAAACCCTGAACCCTAAACCCAGAGAGCCCAATACCCCTGACTTAAGGAATATACCTTAAGTCATAATATCAACCTAGACCCCCCAACTACCCTCTATTATACACCAAATGCTGACTATTAGGGACCATAAGGGCTCGATTAAAGGGCCATTGGGGGGTCCTGGAAGGCCGCTATAGTTTAAGGTATATTCCTTATCTAAAGGGGTAAGTTGGGTTCTCTGGGAACCCTCAACCCAAAGCCTTCCATTCCAAAAAGAAAATCCCTAAGGGCTATGATTCTACATGCTTTCGGGGTCCAGGTGCACCCCGAACCCCTCTAGCCCTAAAGCCCTAAACCCTAAACCCCCTGAACCCCGAACCCTAAAGCTAAAGCCCCTAAGCCATCAACCCTAAACCCTAGAGCCTAAAGCCTTAGACCCGAAACCCTAAACCCTTAAATCCTAAACCCTAAACCCTATAAACCCTAAACCCTTAAGACCCTAAACCCTTAAGACCCTAAACCCTTAAGACTCTAAACCCTAGACCCTTAAGACCCTAAACCCTTAAGACCCTAAACCCTATAAACCCTAAACCCCTTAAGACCCTAAACCCTAAAACCCTAAACCGTTAAGTCCCTAAACCCTAAACCCCTAAACTCTAAATCCTAAACTCCTAAACCCTTAAGACCCTAAACCCT